ACATATTAGACATTGGGGCTTCAAAGATACCTGTGATACAGATGTTACTTTTAAGCAAGATGAGAATAATGGTGGCAGAACAGGGAATGGAATAAATATAAACATGATATCTAACAAAAGTGTAAGAAATTTGATGAGTGAAAGCTTATTTTCACTTGAATTTGGAAATTCATGAAGAAAGGTCCTTTTGATTTGAGTCTTAAATGAAGGAAGGACTTTACCAGATGGAAATAGGGCTAGTTCATTCTAGTTTTGGAGAATACATTGAACATGGGTATAGGCAATGGCAGGTTGAGAATGAGGGGGAGGGGGATGATGAAAATATTTCAGTTTAGCTCAAATATATATAAACTACACTATTATGAAATAAGATTGGATAGTTAGAGAACCTTGAATATCAGTATCAGGAGTTTATATTTTACCTAGTAGCCAATGGGGAAATCCCTTAACTATTTTGAGTAGAGCAGTAATAGTTGTGCATTATGATGATTTGGGCAGTGGTTTGTAAGAGGAGTTGAGGAGAGACTGGTGCCTGAAGAACAGTTAAAAGGCTAATATCATAATCAAGGCCAGAAGTGATGAACATCTGAATTAAGATACTTGTATTGGGATTTAAGAAATGATACCACCTGTGAGAGAGTTTGCAGAGGTATACATTACAATCTTGGCTACTCATTATATGGTGGAAGATGCACTCGTGTTACTGAGACCCAAACCAGTGTGGGGAACAAATGTTTGCATGTGGAAAGGTGCATTAGCTTTGCTGAAATCCAAACCAGGCTTGAGTGCCTGCTGTTTGGTTAGTGTATAGAATATTAGGAAGGTGAGTAAGGTATAATGAAAATGGAAATGTGGCCACATGTGAAAATTTTTAGAAGCTGAACAGAGAGTCAATAGGGAGTCACTGGAGTTAACTGAGTAGGGCAATGTTCCTTGCCTAAGGAGAGTTACTTTGGCAGCTATGTTAAGGATGAACTTGGGAGGGGAGAGTCTGAAGGAGATCAGTTAGGAGGTCTTTACAATAACTCAGGTGAGGGGTGATACGATCTTGTACTAAAGTTATCAGTAGAGAAAAGAGGTGGGATGAAAGAGGTATATACAAGTAAGACATGACAAGATTTTGGTTACTAATTATATATGTGCAGTGACTGATAGAAGGGAGCAAAGATCATACTGAGATTATGAACCTGAGAGACTGAAAGGATATTGATGCTTTTGCCACAACTAGAGAAGTTTTAAAAGAGGCAGGAGTTTGGGGCCAGGGTGGGGTGGGGAATAAATATATGGAACTATATTTGGAACTCTTTGGGAAAAAGTTCTTGCTTAAGAAGTGTACACTGATTTGGGAAATTGTCAGTTTAGGAGGTAGCTTTTTTCTGCCTTCATTTTCTAAATTGTACATGAAATTATTTTCCTTTATACTTTTTAGATAATTTTTTGAATTTTTGTTATTAGTTGGCTTATATTAAAAGAAACAACAGAGTTTGGCCTCTTAATTTCCCTACTGCGAATAAGATACATTTTTACTTTTTCTTTGACCTGGTTAGTCTTTCCCATAAAACTTTGATCTAGGTTTTCTGCTCACTTCATAACTGTCATAGTTATTAATATTCTTCCTTTAGTGTCTTTAACCCTTGATTTGGCAAAAATGTATCTGTTTTCTCTTGTTACCTGATAACTTCTTAATGACAACTAACAGCTTATGTGAGATGAAGGCTATTAACACTAATGGATAGAAGGATAACTGATAGCATGGGAAAGGTTAAGGATGACCAGGAAAGTTTTAGCAAGTATGCTTGTGACAGGAGGGCTTAAGGACCATGAGAGTGTTTCCACTGATGTCATAATGAATTGAAGTGCCTTCTTTGACTTTCTTACTGTCCTTATTTCTCACAGAGTTTGTTCTGGGCTTTCACAGTCTTGTCAAAGACAGATGTTGGAGAAGTGTCTTTAGTATTTATATTTAAGTTCCTCAGTTTGTGAGCAGACCTCAGTTTAATTTAATTTATCATGACCAAACTAGGTTTTTTTTTTCTGTAAATGCTTGTGAAAACCAGCTTACCCTGTTTTTATCTTATTGTCATCTCTTGTACAGATTTGGAAGAGATGTTTTTTTTTCTAACTGCTAGGCCTTCCCATGTTTTCCAATGTGCTTTGAAAGTGTACTCATCATTAGCTTTACAAGTCAAGGAGAAGTAAATGCCATTAGTTTGCTATCTGGGGGACTGAGACTTCCCAGCATAACATGTGCAAACTGTTACATATTTTTAGATTGTGTATTTCTTAAAAGTTGTGCCCAGAGGTCTCTGAATGCCCACATAGTATTGGAAATATACTTTGCTTGATTCTGAAACACAACCACTAACTTTCTATAGAAGTAAGCAAGAAAACTCCTTATGGAAGAAGGCAGCATGAAATAGGAGAGCTAGTGTAGTATAGAGAGAAGAGCCCTAGGCCTAGCATTTGAGGAGCCAGCTTTGGATCCAGGCTTGGCCAATTCAGCATGTGGCTGCCTTTAGGCAAGTCACTTCCCATCTCTCTACCTCAGTTTCTATCTCCATAAAAAAAGGAGTTTGTACTAGATAATCTTAAAGGCTTCTTCCAGGTCCAAATCCATGACTAAGGACAAGTGAGTTTCTCTCATAACTGCCACCCTTTCCCTATTCTGCACTTCCCAAATAGTGTTTTTATATTGTCTTCTCAAAGTTGATGAGTTGAGGCGGAGTGTATCAGGCTTCTTGTTCTGCTTGGTGGATCCTTGGAGACCATTCACCGATGGTGAGCTGAGAGCAAGGGACTGGTCCCTTGTGACCTCATAGCTTTTTAATCACAACAGCCTGTGAAAAGAAGGCCACTTATTGATAGAGCAATACTTTTAATCAACTACAGTATTTCTTTTCTTTGAAACTACAAATGCCCCTCAAGTAGAACAAACTGTGGGCTTGTGAGATGCGCACTCAGCCTCTTTCTACTCCAAAGGAGGCCTGTCTGTCATGCGTATTAACCTCTCTTAGCATTTGGTGCTTTGCATTGGTGCATGACTTTGCCTCTTGTGTGCTTCACTTGTTTAATTATATTCCCATTCGTTGGCATGAGAGCATGAAACAAGAAGCTCAGGGGCAAATGGGGAGGTTATACAACTAAAGACTTTAAAACCAAGAGGCATTCCTTTGATAAAGGAATGGCTCCTCCGTGTAAGTGGGAGCACCTCCATTAGCATTAATGGAGTAAGTACATCAGCCAAGGCATCTCAGAGGTTAATCACGCTTCCTGGCTGGCCTTTGCCGTCAATACTGTGTGGCGCCTAATTCTGTTGCTCCTTCAGAGGCTTTCCTGACAGCACACTAACAGACTCTGTGTAAGTCATTTCTTATGAATTATTGAAACAAACGTTTGGCTGCTAATTGATGAACACTAATGTGTTTTCTAATCACTGCAGTTTGAGTTTTTAGCACTAAACAAAACAGTTACAATTGATTTGTGGCTTTTCCTGGGTTTCAGTCTGCTGCTAACTCTGCCTTTGTATTTGAATTCAGCAGACAGCTTTGCTGGTCATTTTAGTTAAGTATTTATTAGGACGCAGTATTATGGTTCTTTAGTTGTCCCCTTCCCCCCTTCTATAAATCTAAAAGACAGTTAAGGATTGACTATCTAGCTTCCTATCCATTCTTATAAGGTATGAGTGATACTGGATCCATCATGGCCTGCTTGCACATTCAACCAAATGTGAATCACAAGTAGTAGAAGTGCCTTTATAAAAGAAACTTGTTTTGCTGGGTTGACAACAGAGATGAGTCCTAGCCTATATTCCAGTTCTTAAACACTTCTGAGCATCTTCTTAATGTTTTGCAAGTTACTTATCCTTCTGTATATTGTAGCTTGTTTGTAAACATCCTGTATCCCTCTAATGAGTGTTCCATATGAATAGAATGGATTCTAATTTACTGTCTAAGATATTGTGTACATCAGGCTTTAGTTGTTTATATGTTTGCTTTAAGTAGAAAAGGAATATTTCATAATCTTTGAAAATATTCTATGATATCTAACCATAATAGTATTTTCGAAACGAATTGAAGTATTTTCTGCTGTCATGTAGGGTAGGAGCTTCAAGACTAATTTTTTGTAATACTCCATTTACCAGTTATTAGCATTTTAGTGGGGGATGGCATGTTCATTGTGCCAGATCTTAGTGGGTAAGATACAATATTACAAAGCACAGTAAATTTTAGCTATGTTGAAGAGAGCAGTCCCAACTGCTTGGCAGAATTACCAATGTAATTTGACCTGATTTAACTAAAGGACAAAATTATGAGTAGAATATTTCAGCAAGAGAGTGGCGTATTATGCTGTTCATGTTTTTTTAATTAGGATATTTCTTTGAAAGTATGTATTTTAAGGAAGGAGAAAAGAATTATGTGTTTATCTGTGTGTGTGTGTGTGTGTTAAAACAAACATATACTAATATATTTAGAACATTTCACATTCATACTAAGACAACATTGTATATTAGAAGGTAGTGTGATGTTATGACATGGTTGAAAAATTGCTAGATTTGGAGTCACTGGATCTTCTACTATTGATGTCAATTCTCCCTAGGCCTCAGTTTATAAAATTAGAACTTTAGATTAAGGGATCTTTAAGGTGCCTTTCCAACTCTAAATCTCGTGTGTGTGATGTACTCTTGAGAGGAGAAAAATAATTTCCTGATTTTTTTTAATCTCCTCTCTGCATGCCCTCCTGCCCCTCATTCTATGTCAGCTGAGAGAACATTTACCAACCTTTGCTTTCATACTCCCCCAGTTTACTAAATCTGAAAATCATGTTAGAAGGGACTGGATCAGCCTTAATGAGATTTCTTTTTTTTGTTAAAGTCATAAAAAAAGTAGTTTGTGGGTTTTGGAGGCTACTTCAAATCTGTGAGAAGAAATAGTGTAGGGCCATGTAGTGGTCATTTGCATGGGAAATCCAAGTGTCATCCTTTTTAATTTTCATTGCTATAGACCTTGAAAACTGGACTGACAATGGTTGGGAAAGTGGTTACCCAGCTGACTGGTACACTGCCTTCGGGTGTAACTGAGGAGGATGTTGCCATCCACAGCAATACTCGCCGAAGTCCTCTGGTCCCAGGAATTATCACAGTTATCGACATGGAGACAGTTGGAGAAGGGCAGGTAAGAAGAAGGTCTGGTGCATGTGGCAAGCAGAGATTAGATTTTTTTTTCTGAATTTCTACTTCTTGCAGGGATTGCCTTGCTTTTATCTTGCTTCATCACAATGGGGAGTGTCTTTGTGTCTGCCAGGTCAGCAGTGTCTGCATGTTCGCTCTGCTGCCTTCGTGGTGAAGCGTCATTGAGGATCCAGCTGAGCCAACATGTATACAGCCCTTAATGCTCATTTACATGACATTTTGACAACATCGAGTGTGAACTGTCAGTTGTGCTTTCCTCACACTTGCTCAGCATTGACACTGATTTATGCTGACCAGTGGTGGTGTTGCTCTGATTACAGTTATTAATGCAGAGTGTAGCAACAAACTCTGACTGGGATTTAGAATCTTGGTGAACTGTTTGATATGGTGGAATGAAGGAGTAATTAGGAGTCCGTTGTAACTTGAGTGAGCTGGAATATTTGTGAAATAAATTTGAGTGGACAAGGGTGGTGCTTGGCATGTTGAAAACAGCTATAAATCCTGTTTCTTGTAATCCATTTGCTTTAGGAAGAAAGAAAGGAAACCTTCTAAATGAATTTAGAAACCTATCCCAACCTTGCATTTAGAGTTCTCTGTAAGAAAGATGAGTAAAAAGATTAAGTGATTCAAATATTATATTTTGGCCTTGGAATTGGCCCTTTCTTTGTTTGCTTAGTATTATTTTTCAATTATTTTCTATTACTTGCTGTTTACTTATTTAAAAAATTGGATTGCAGACTTGTGCAAAAGCGTGCTGAAAGTTGAGTTTCCTTATTTAAATATAAATATAGGAACAGAAAAAGAGTTTAGAATTTCAGTATCAATGGCATGACTTTAGGTCCTGTTTTATTTTGGAAATGAGAGCATTATAAATCCATTTTTTTTTTCAAACTACACTAGTGTCAAGTTAGATGAGTTTAGGGATCTGAGATATTTTCTTCCCTTCCACAATTTATGAGAACATGTTTTATTTTCTTACTTAAAGGCAAAAATGAAAAATTATGATTTTTGTAGCATTTCATGAAGCCTTCTTTGTATTTGTCTTTTCTAATATGTAACTGGAAATTGACTTTTAGCAGAAATTTGAAACATGAGAGAAATAATTTCATTTCTATTGCATAGATTTTTTTTTTTTAAAGCACAAATCACTAGGAGACCTTTATGTGGGATTTTGTTTTGTTTTGGTTTTTTGGTTCTGTGTCAGAGAATAACATTGGCTTTGTCCAAGTGATATGTCCTTATGATGAATAATACCAACCATTGTTAGAAAGTTAAAATGTTTATTTCCCTTCAGTTCTCAAAATATCTTAGGCTAAACACTGGGATCCAAGATAGTCATTATTTAAAAATAATATTGCCCCAGAAATAAATATATGGGTGTAATTTTTGTGACTTCATTTTTGCATTATACTTTCTAAGGTCATGGCAGTTGAAAATCTTCAAAGCTTAAGTCTGATCTTAATTCATTTTTCATTTTGCAAGTAAGAGACTGAATAAACATGAGCATAATAAATGAGATTTTTCAATACAAGGAAGAATTTTTATATATCAATAATTTAAATTTAATGTTTCTAAAATAATTCTGCAAGTAAAGAAAAAAATTCATTTTTCCTTCCCATCAGTTTGTGATTGTTTCTATTAAAATAATATATAAAATTAACTCATTGTGTGAGATAAGAGTTCAGTATTGATGGAATTAGAATTGTTTTAGCTTTATGCCATGCATGTGTTCATTTCCTTCTTCAGAAAATATCATTTAGAAAGTATCAGGGGCTTTAAAGTATTAGCCCAAAATATCAAATGTTCCTTGGGAAAATATGCTTTTAGTATATTGTGGTAGACATCTTGGTGAAATATGGAATATGGCAGCTGCTTAGGAGTGAGTTACTGCATTAACAAACAGTGGCACTTTGAGAAAGTTTGAACTATAGTTTAGTGAAAAGAGAAAGGCTTCAAAATTCTGAGCCAGTGGATCTGGCTGTCATATTTTATTTTAAAACAGAATAAAAATAATTTTCCCGAACCCCAAATAACTTTGTGGTAAACCAAAATATGTTAACAAGGCTCATGTGCTTGTTTAAACTTCCTTTTAATGAAGTGTTAGCAAACTTTTCAGTTGGCCTTAATGACTATTTATTTAGACCTGTTAATTAGCTGAAATGGATAGAAATAAACCTATACAGATGTTCCCCTTTTAAAAATTGGAATTAAATACATAAACTTTAAGTGGTTTGTGAGTTTTAAAGAAAAAATATTTGCTTTTGACCTTTGATTCTTGATTCTTAATTAATTCATCACTAGGCCACCCACATTTAGTTTCTAGTAATGACCCCTCAACACTAGGCAGTTTTGTGGCTACAAATAAGTCTGTTAAACATCTAACATTTGTTGACAGAGAGATAGGTGGTCATTTAAAAGTGGAAAATTTGATCTTTAATGTTTTTGATGAAACAGAAAGGTGAAAAATGGCATATTAATTAAGTGCTCTCATATATTATCTGAAATATAGAACAATATAGGAAGAAAAGGGAAAAAGAGTTATTGTGTCAAAGTATAGCATTTTGGCCTTTTTGTGTTTTCAAATGTGATTGGATTTTTCCCTGTTCCTTATTAACTTTTTATTACATTAAAGAGGAATTCTCTGGGATTTGGTAGAGGAGGTGGAGTTTTGAGGGGAAAGGAGGGAAGGAAGAACTATACACCCCTGCCATTTTAAAGGTGCATTTCCATTTAGTCAGGAATTGATAGCAATTGAACCAAATAAAGATGCTTATCAAGAAGTAGGAACCATAGCAATGTTAGCTCTTCAAATGCCAGAAGCTAAACGATGTTCAACGCCAACAAATTATCCCACGTGTGATTCTCATTTAGAAAAAGGTAGTGCCTTTTCATCCATGGTTAATGATATATATTCTAAAATATTGTATTATTTTCATTCTATTGCCATACGTTTTTGAAAGTGTTTGGGTATTATTAGTTTTATATCTACATGTGTTACAGAATAATTCTTTGTTTTAAAAAAAGCAACAGGATTCCCTTAGAGCATAATTTTGTCTGCCTTTCTTTTATTGAAGGGAATCTGTTTTTTGTCAAGAAGACATTTTTGTCTCAGATAAATAGTTCAGTCTGAGCGCAAGGCTGTTTTGAGTGTATGCTGGATTCTATTAAAAGGAGTGCAGTAGTTAATGTTGTAGATTTATCACTTTTAGCCCCTTTCCACTGATGTTTGACCCTAGTTATAATGTTTTTTTCTTCCTCATACATCTTGGCAACTGAACCTGACAATGCATTGGTTTTTGCTGTTTAAATCCATCAAGCCTTTAATAAAGATATTTTCATGTTTACAGTAGAGAGGTATAAAATCTGATTCGTCATCTTTCTGATGCTAATCTGATTTGTTTGATTTTATGATTACGTGATCTTTCTTTAGTAACTGCATTAAGGACAAAAACAATTTGATTGAATTTGTACACATTTTTATTCGTGTTACTTTCATGTTTTATATAAAAGAATTTCTAGACTTGCATAAGTTAAGTGGTATAATTTGCCATTAAAGATTGTTATAATTGCTCTCGTAATTGCTTTTGACTACTGATCAGCAGTCTTGATCTCTCTCAAAATGAAGAAAAATATATTTTGGGAGGGTAAAAAAAGCCACCCCTTAGGCAGAAAATAAATGCTGGTTTTGATAACAAGTTTAGTGATCCGCTAGGTGTTTTGTCAGTCTCTCTATTTGAATGACAAAGACTGACTTATCCATCTTGCATCAATTATGGTGTTCTGTTGAACTTTAATACAGTCAAACTGATAATGCTTGCTCATTGGCTCAGTGTGCTCAGTTAAGTGGTGAGTACAGACTGGTCTTTTGGAAAATTATATTTTGCTGTCTGGTGGCGCTGACGTCCTGGCAGTTCAGACAGGATGAGAAGTGATTCTGTGGATCCTCCCCAAAAGAGCTTAGTTGTTGTTATATGGAATTACCTCTCTTTTAGTGGTTGTGAAACCTATTGAGAGGATATTGAAAAAGCATCCCTTTCCTGTGTGACGACACAGTGGCCTGCAGGAAACCCAGGCTCATCTGTATTTTCACCATCTGGCTTCATGGTTCTTATTCATACTGACGTGAAATACAGCATCAAGATTATTGTGTTAGAAAGAGAAGAAAATAAAGGTGCAGCACAACAGCTACCAGTTCACCAACTTTCTGTATGTCTATAGCTCAGTAACATAAGAGAACAGTATTGCATACTTGACCAGCTCTGGCAGAGGTAACATTTTTCTCCCTGCATTTGATCAACGTTGGAGTTTGAGAGACCTAGTAGGAAAGTGGGTCCCTAAATTCTTATGTGGCTTCTGCCTCACTTGTATAGTGAGTTTGGTCAAGCCCTCCTCTTTCATTCTGCCCCAGTTTTGAGGCAATCAGTAAGAAGAGGCTAACAATCCCTATCTGTTGCTACAGCAGTGTAGCATTGTTATGGCACAACTGTGGTGAAGGGTAAGCTATGTCCAGAGAGCAATTTTATTGAAAGCTCACTTTCTTCCTCCAAAATTTTGAAAAATACACCTAGCTGTGGGAGGTAATAAAAAATAAAATGTACAAAACAAGAGGGAAAAAGATGTTTGGTTATGAGGTCTGATAAGGCAAGATACATATAGTCAAAAATCCTTCAGTAAACACTGAATATCTCCACAGAGAGAGAAGGGAGAACGGTTAAAGAAGAGAAGGGAGAATCAACTTGGGTATGTCAACATGGCTGTCTGTGGTTAATTCCTGAATGAAACTGGCCAAGTGTAGTAATAGTGGCTTTCTTGTGGCCTTAATTCTTGTAAGTTAGGTCTTCTCTTCTGTTTTTTGTTTAAATTTTTACAAATAGGCCATTTGGGGACAGTTGCATGCCTTATTGCTCACCACACACTAAACTTCGTCCTGTTCTCAAGGTTACGAGAAGGTGTCATTTTCATAATTTTCTGGTAATATTTACT